TATTAGCTCGTCTGGAGCTTGGTTTTGTGTTCTTACTACTCACGCAAGTGGACACTTCGACATCAAGTAATTATAATTTGTAATTATAATTTATAATTTATACATTAACTGGCCATTTTATGGTTTCAAATAATGAAACATTTTTTAAAACAAGATAAGTAATAAATGAGGTAGCACACTCAAAGAACGTTTATAACCCCGTTTATTATAAACCCCGTTTCAGGTTCGTGTAAGATACAAGAGGTTAAAGGATACCTTAAAAATAAATGTGACTGGGGACTGGAATTGTTCCCTACATACAAATGCGCTTATTCGGAAGATCTCTACAGAATTCTACCTCCTATGATCGCCTACAGTAACAGACACATCTTCAATACGTCCTGTTCCAACGACACATACGGTTATCAGGTTACTAAATTCAATTCCAATCATTTCCATTTCCCGATTGTTGACTGTTTAATACCTTAGTGACTGGTCCGAATGTGGCTACATCAGAAAGTAAATGTGGGTGTTGTATCCCGTATACTTAGGGACCGTAATGTACAAAATACACAAGCGTAATCATTTGGAAACCCCGCTCCCCCCTCGGCTGATTACGTAATATGTGAACGACCCCAATTTGAATCAGCAGGTGCTGATTCGGACCAAGCACTGGAAGTTTACTTTTTTTTAATAGTTTGGTCAGTACAGAATGCTGAGGATGTGTAAGTTAATTGCATAACTTTTGCAGTAACCTGTAACAATGAAAACCTAGTTTTAGTAAATTTCATATTTACATATAAAAATTTAAGCAGTACAAATTCATTGATTTAAATACAAATTCAGGCGTGCGGGAACAACATCGGCTCGGAGTCTGGCTTCAACCAATGGTCCTTATGTGGATATCTCCTTTGCGAGGAGGATAAGTACGACACTGTCCTTCCTAACTTAAAAGAAGAAATATGCCAAATGGAATGTACAAATCTTAACCAGGCCCAGGAAGAAAATCTTAGGTGTGATGAAGAAAGGGATATAGGTTCCGTGAAAGTGAAAGATTGTCCTACGGATAAGCCGGGTGACTGCCAATCCTTTTCGGAGCAAATGGTCTGCGACAGTATTTGTGATGTTTGGAACTGCTTGGATGAAAGCCAGTGCAATGGCTATTTTTACGGTGAAATGTGCTCCTCATACAGTATTGTGCTCCAAAAAATCTTACATTTTACATACATATCTCCCCACGAGATGTGCAATGGTGTTCGTGATTGTGTGGACGTACAAGCAGGGTTAACGGTGGACGAAGTAAGGGAATGCTATGACATTAGTCGAGAAACACCTAGCTGCATAGGCGGAGAGCTGTACAGACGAAAGTCCATCAAACGGAGAATTCGTATTTTTAACTCAACGCGCTGTGCAGCTATTGTCTCAAGCACTGAAGAGTCCTACGTTCGGTATCCAAACAAAAGAGAGGTGAGCAAAACAGGGACCCCATACTGCCTGGACTATATAGACCAGACAAATTGCAGTGACGAAGCAAGGGTAGCCGTCCAATGCGTCATCAAAGGATATGGTCTCAGCACGATCGCCAAAACCATGGTCTGTGGCAGGTTTCGGAAGGGATTTTGTACCAATGGTCTAGATGTTGCATGTATCCAGGTGACTCCAGCCTGCATCATTCACAAGCACCAACTCTGTGACAAGGTCCCGGACTGTGCCAGTGGCGCTGATGAGGTTCATCCCTCCTGTCGGGCTCAGACCCATCAGGAGTGTTACAGGAACTACCGGACCAACAGGAAACTTCCTATACCTGGTGCATGGCTGATGGACGGAGTGGAGGACTGTTTAAATGGAGTCGATGAGAATTGGAAAATTGAGTGCGGAACTGGCATCACGAGGAGATATGAAGTCGATGACTGCCAAGACGTTTTCATGTGCTATGGAGCGCTTAAATTCGTAGCCTTGATTGAACTTTGCAACGGAGAGGATGAATGCGGAAGCGAAAATTTGATATGTGAGATAGGACAGGGCTTATCGAGTGAGACTACCGCAGTTTATACTAACGGAAACACAAAAGTTCTTAAATACTGCCTGAAAGGATTAGAGGATTTAATAGAGAAGATAAGTGGGTGTGTCTCCCAGGAGTTCAGCCCTTTTGATCAGCATATTTATGGCAAGAGTAGCAAAACCATCGTCACTTATCCGGCAGAAGAAACAGACTGTAACTCCCTTTTTGGTGAGGGCTATGTCATTTTAAGCTGTCTTCAAAAGTGTCCTAACTCAGATTGCCCTCTGACCAAACGGGTTGACTTCCAAGACTGTCCGGCTCAGTACACAGACCGTATCTACACAGTGGTTGATAACAGTCACCTCACATTTGTAACAAGGAGGCACAACGACTACCACAACGACTACTTCGTGTGTGGCAACGGCATGTGTACAGACTACGACAAGGTGTGCAACCTTTGGGATGATTGTGGAGATGGGTCGGATGAAGCTGCTTGTACGAACAGCTTCAAGTGTCATGACAGTCAGGGTTATATCCCCCTGGATAAGAAATGTGATGGTAACCCAGACTGTGGGGACATCTCTGATGAATGCAACACGGAGTGTGGAAAGGAAATCATTAACGGGTTACCACTCAAGGTAGCTGCCTGGAGCCTTGGTGTGCTGGCAACAGTGTTGAACATTATCGTTCTTTACGAAAATGCACGAAATTTTGGACAATGTAAGTCGACTGAGTCCCTGACAAACAGAATCCTGGTAATGCTGATCGGACTTGGGGATCTACTAGTTGGGTTATATCTTGTGTTCGTAGCTGTTGCGGACTCCACGTCAACTGGCAAAGGATATTGCAAGATGCGGTACAGTTGGCTGACGAGTTCATATTGCAATTTTATGGGTGTTATCAGTACTTTTGGAACCCAGGTCTCCCTATTTTCTCTCACTATACTCAGCTCTATTCGGGCAATTGGAGTTTACAGGAACCGAATCCAACATCATGGCGAAAATAGTGCCATAAGCCGCAAAAACAAATTGAAAGTAGCAGTTTTGATTTTACTGATAATTATCTCTGCAGTTGCCATTGCAGTGGTGTCCCTTTTTCCAGTTATGGAAGACTTTTTTGTGAATGGTTTAGTCTATGACCAGTCCATCAGAATTTTTCGAGGCCAGATTGGAAAAGCGAAGCATTTTAACGTAATTCAAAATTACTACGGAAGGTCGAAGAAGCGGATCCTTAGATGGGCCCTAATCGAAAATTTAGTAAGGTCTATGTTTTCATCGGACTATGGAAATCTTGATGTCAAGATTGCACGAGTCGATTTCTATGGCAATGACGGAGTTTGCCTTTTCAAATACTTCGTGACCCGAGATGACCCCCAATGGTTGTTCACAATATCAGTCCTCACTATCAACATCATCTGCTTTGTCATTGTCACTGCAGCTTACGTCTACATCAACATCTCCACCATAAAATCCTCCAGTTTCCTGAGAAAAGGCGAGGGTCCAACCGCTGACATGGTCAACAAGAGAAACTCAAAGCTACAGCGGAAAGTGGCCACCATTATCACCACTGACTTTCTTTGTTGGGTTCCCTTTATCTTGGTTTGCTTCCTGCACTTTTTTGAAGTGCTGAACGCCACACCCCAGTATGGACTCTTCTCGATCATCCTGCTGCCGATCAACTCTGTGATAAACCCGTTCTTGTACAGCGAGGTAATGATGCGACAAACGGACAAGGTGAGCCAGCTGGTCAGGAGAATGTTTGTTAGGGTTGCGGCTCATATGACGCTCTTTAATCAGATCTCTCCAGACATTCTTAGAAAAAGTACAGTAGCTGTAGATGTGAGTAGTAATATGGTTGCGATAGAAATGCAGGAAGTGAAAGTTCAAGAGCAGGGTACCCCTCCTAAACTTGATATTTATATCAAGCATGATCCTGCTCCTAAACTTAAAAATGACGTAGGGCAAAACCGCACTCCTAATTGTGAAACTGGCATTGAGCAAGTTCCCATTCCTAACTGTGAAACAGATATTGAGCAAGTTCCCATTCCTAACTGTGAAACAGATATTGAGCAAGTTCTCATTCCTAACTGTGAAACAGATATTGAGCAAGTTCCCATTCCCAACTGTGAAACAGATATTGAGCAAGTTCCCATTCCTAACTGTGAAACAGATATTGAGCAAGTTCCCATTCCTAACTGTGAAACAGATATTGAGCAAGTTCTCATTCGTAACTCTGAAACAGATATTGAGAAAGTTCTCATTCGTAACTGTGAAACAGATATTGAGCAAGTTCTCATTCCTAACTGTGAAACAGATATTGAGCAAGTTCTCATTCCTAACTGTGAAACAGATATTGAGCAAGCTCTCATTCCTAACTGTGAAACAGATATTGAGCAAGTTCTCATTCCTAACTGTGAAACAGATATTGAACAAGTTCTCATTCCTAACTGTGAAACAGATATTGAGCAAGTTCCCATTCCTAACTGTGAAATAGATATTGAGCAAGTTCCCATTCCCAACTGTGAAACAGATATTGAGCAAGTTCTCATTCCTAACTGTGAAACAGATATTGAGCAAGTTCTCATTCCTAACTGTGAAACAGATATTGAGCAAGTTCCCATTCCCAACTGTGAAACAGATATTGAGCATACAGCAAGCTCTCATTCCTAACTGTGAAACAGATATTGAGCATACAGCAAGTTCTCAATCCTAACTGTGAAACTAATACTGTGGAGCTGGATGCAGTATTACAGAGACCTGATCTTACACGAGGACAGTATAGATGATAACGTAAAGCTACCAAAGACACTGCAGAACTGAATGAGCTATGTGAAGATCAAGATTTTTCGTCTGAACTGAACTATGGACGTTTTTAATTAAAATTATATTTATATTATAAGCACTGCCACGATCACAACCATGGACGTATAACGATTTGTTTTAATGTTTAACTTTCATTAGCATACCAATGGCCAATAACAAAAATAGTTGATTATTACCTAATTAAATTTTTTAAATACCTTCGTGTCCATGAGTGCAGATGCTGATGAGGTCCTGCATTTTCGTACTTTTTGCTCATGCTCTTTGCTCTTGGTTCGTTCACTTCCATACTTTTTGCTCTTTGCTTTTGTAATTAAATCAATTTACAACCTCTAAAGGTTAGTGTTTTAATTGTTCACGTGAACACTAAATACCATTTTACTACGCCACTTCAAATAGAAGCCACCATATCGGCTTTAATTTGACCGGCCCGATAAATCTAGTTTAAATTGATAAATATAATTGACAACCCACTCTTCCCTTCCTCTCTATTTTAACAAGATCGTCAAGTCTGTGTTGTTTAGATTTAAGTAGTAAATCATCAGATTGAGGTGATGTTCGGTTTTATGCAATAAAAATCCTTGTTTTTAAATATACGAATCAAGTTTTGAAATTAAATATCTTTTTAAATGAACATAAATAACTGCGTGTATAAACTTAAAATCACGTCAAATTCCCAAATTTATATCACAAACTTGTTTTAAAATGGTCGTCAGTTATTTAAAGATTATCTCAAAACAGTCATACCGACAATAATCATTATCGTGGTTAAATTCAGTTTCGCCATCAAATCAGGTTTCATTAAAAACTCTTTTAAAAAAACTGCATTTTATCATTTTTTCAGAAATTTCCCAAGATCAGCTTTAGTCCTCTGCTTACTGAAAATGCCACTCTTTATCCTATCCTCCACTGTAGTACTATTAGACGAGTACGAGTCTACTTTGAACTTGTGGAGGAACTCAGCTTTACCCTCTTTGTTGGCAGCCGTGTCCTCTAGTTCCGTGTCTTTGTGTTTGCTGTATCGTTCCCTTCGCTCTACGTCCCTACCCTTAGCGTTACTCATCATTTCTTCCCTCTTTTTCGCCATTTCCTCCGCAGACATTTTCTTGCTAATTCCACTTCCGCCCCGTGGGATTGGGTATTTCGATTTGGCGGGTTTTGTCGAGGTGGGATTCTGAGAAGTGGCGGGTTTTTCAGTAGCGGTGGCGGGTTTAGTAGAGGATTTAACTATAAGCCCGAAGCCAGGTTTGTGATGGTGTTTATCACGCGACCTGCTGCGAGAACGATTCTTGTCTCGTTTGTTTCTGTGTTTGACAGGAGATCTAGATCTGTGTCTACTACCTGATTGTTCTGGAGATCTACTGATTCTGCGCTTCCTATCACTCCGAGAATCTGAACCACGTTCAGATACATCAGATCTGTTTCGTGAGGATGATGACATTGGTTCTTCTCGTCTCTCTGGTGAGCCCTCTTCACGACTTTTCCTTCGCTTCTTTTTCTTCTTCTTCAAGTCCTTTTTCAGTTCTGATGCTAGCAGATCCTTTATTTTCTGCATTTTCAGCGGATTGTTCTTCAAGTCAACATGAGCATTCCGCTTTTGCTTCTCAATAATGAACATAGGATCCTCTCGAGCCTTAGCGAAAGCGTCCCTAGTTTTCCACATTTCTGACCGCCCCGCCATGTCCCCATCCTCTGGAACTTTTCCAGAGATCCAGTCAGCGGCCTTCTCTGTATCCTGGTTAGGGTCCACCGCATCATCAATACGCCGACCCAGCAGATACTGTTCCAAATCAGGCTTGCTGGTGCCGGAGTACATCCATTCTGTCTGCTTCTCCGACATGTTCTGATGGGCTAAAATGGAAGAGTTTTAGTTTTGTACGAATTTGATGAATTCAAATTAATATAATGAGGTGATTTAAGAAATGACAATGCTTGTATATGCTCATCATCGAATTGAAATTAATTGTTTAATTGTTATTTTTATATTGCTTCTAAATTCAGTAAAACAACTATATTATTGATACAGTATAATTATAACTTAAAATTAATAACTATCCAATGCCAATTTTAAAACTGGTGACTGTTCAGCAACATAAATTGACACAGGTATACGAGAGTTTACTGAAAATATCTTGATCACTGATCAGTGCCTATGTTAAGACTTCATCTTTGGTGGAAAACTTCAAATAATATAGTCGGTGAATTTGTAATTGAATTGCTGTGACAATCAAAAAAGCAGAAAACTTCTGAATTACTCAAACTAATATAACTGGAATCATTCTGATCAATATCATGCAAACAGGTAGTCAAAAAGGGGAAATAACTGGGAAATGAGGTTTTAGAACCTTCAAGAAGGTTCTAAATCCAATTAAGCGGTCAGCGCAATAAATACATAGATTATGACATTGTCCAACATGCAGTCACATTATAATCCTCTCACATAGGGCCTGGCCAGACAACCCCAAATATGTGACAGCCACAAAAAATCTCTCAGTTTATCCGAAAGAGATGGAAGATTGGCCACCAGGGGGTCTGACTATTTTGACCACTTGTTTTCTTGCACCGGGATCTGGGGCTCCGAACACACTCGATTCGTTCCTGGCTTTCTGGCAGTTCGACACCTGGTGTTCCTTCTCGAATCTGTCCGGCTGAGGAAATTAGAATTAGCAAAATATTAAATTCATAAATTGAGGTAAAATGTGTTTTTATCTAAAGTGTTTGAATCTAAAGTCTGCAATTACTGGTTCCAAAAAGAATAAATAAGATGCATTAATAACTGATTGAGAATAAAAACCTTTGCTACTCGCTGACCAGCAGGCACAAACGGTTCGCCTGCAGAGGCAGCAGCTGCGGCTGGAGCAGCTGCAGCTGGAGCAGGGGCTGCTGCTGGAGCTGAAGCGGAGGCAGCAGCAGGGGCTGGGGCGGCTGCTGCTGCAGGAGCAGCTGCTTTAGGTTTTGGGGCGACTGGGTCTTCTCCGTACCCACCAAACAGGCTGATACTAGTCTTGCCACCAGGAGGTGCCATCACTCTGAAAGGGAAGAGATCGTTACTTTCTTTCTAAATATGACACAGTTTGATTAGGCGCACGCTTTGCTCGACATTCTGCGCGATTCTCTATGCAATTCTACTGGTGGCTGAGAGTTGTTTCCCTAAGAGTGTAGCAAAAATTTGGGATATTCAAAATCATCTGGAATGGTCATCTTTGGAGAACAAAACACCACATTTTCTACACTCTTAACTCATGGGTAAAGTAGTTAATTAACTAAAAACTTGAAAATATAACCTGTCCAACAAAAAGTAACATCACATTTTAGTGATAAGAACAAAATATGTTTGCTCCGAAAATGCTACACTTTAGGTGACATGATGCTTTCTACCGATAGAATGGAGTAGCAGCAGGTTCAGGGACTACTTTTGCCGGTGGTGGCGCAGTGGCTGTCGGTTTTGTGGCAGCGGTTGTTGGTTGTGGGGCGGCGGGTGGTCCCCCTCCGTACAGATTGATACTTGTTTGACCACCAGGCGGTGCCATAATTCTGGTAAGAACTGGTTCGTTATTACCTTCCAAAATATGGAATGCACTTTGATTGATTTTTTGGGGATAATGGCCTGAAACATATTTTCTTCACGTATAAACTCATCCCCTTCCATAACTGCACCCTGACAACATTCCGAAAATTTCACTACCATCCATGGGTATTGGGTAAAACAGTTAAGCAGTAATTAACTTACAGCTTGACAATATAACCTGTCCAACAAAAAGTACATTATCGCACCTAACATCACATTTTAGCGATAAGAACAAACAAAACTATTAAATATTTATGGTCCGAAAATACTACACTTGAAGTAACAGAATGCTTTATTTCTACCGATAGAATGGAGTAGCAGCTGGTTCAGGGGCTGCTTTAGCCGGTGGTGGAGCAGTGGCTGTCGGTTTTGTGGCAGCGGTTGTTGGTTGTGGGGCGGCGGGTTGTCCCCTTCCGTACAGATTGATACTCGTTTGACCACCAGGCGGTGCCACAATTCTGGTAAGGACTGGTTCGTTATTACCCTCTTAAATACGAAGTGTACTTTGGTTGAACACCAAGAGGGTGCCGACTGCCGGGATAACAGTGTAGGGAATAGAAGGCGAAGTAACGAATAGAATTAGAGGGAATAGTAATAGAAGAGTCCAGACAAGAGACAGAGATATTACCCAGCGTGAATGTCGCATTTTAAATTTTGTGCTACACTGGGGTGACAACATGGATGACAATATGTACATCATACATGCTCTCTACCGTTGGAAGGGTTCGTGAGATGGAGCAGAGACTGCAACAGGAGCTGGAGCAGCTACTTTTGGTTTTGGAGCTTCGACTGGGTCTTCTCCGTACCCACCGAATAGATTGATACTCGTTTTGCCACCTGGCGGTGCTATCACTCTGCAACGGACGGGATCGTTATTTCCCTCCAAAATCTTACGCGCGCTGATTTGCGCGCGCTCTGATTGATTTTTCGCGCGATTGTCTCTATAACTTTACCGTTAGGCGGTCACAGAATGACTGCACACGCTTATTGCGGTCGACAAGGTGCTGAAAAATTGTGATTATGCCATGCAAATTTCCTGATTCTGGCGGCAAATTCAACTGTAATATTACAATAGTATTAAGACTGTGACAAAAAGTAACGTTCGATATCGAAAGACAGGGAGAACAAAAGAAGTCTCTGGAAAGTTAGCCGGGGTTCCACAAACCCATTTATGGATTTTGTTAAAAGTTCATTTTGAAGGGTTGACTGCTTTTTAGATTAGATTACCATAATATTAGGCATCATTCATTGCTTCGATCTCGAGTCTATAAAAATTTGGTGGTTGGCCTACACATTCACATGTTCGTGTTGCTATGCACGATTACACTCAATACACACTATACTTGTATGGCCTGACATTAAATCATTTAATCATATTACACGATAATATTAACCTCCTGATCCTACTCCCACATTATTACATAGCGTGGAGAGCTGGAGAGCACAGACTGTGTAATATTTTATACCGTTTACATAATATTTAACATAACATTGTCAAGTTCAGCTGTCGTAGCACAACAAACCTCATCTCGGCGCTGTGTTTCTTTCCTAGAAGTTTTGAGAAAAGTCAGTGATGATTTTTATATTATTGCATGTGAAACATACGTCATGTATTCTCTCCAGCACACTCAGTTAAATCAATACATGTAAAGTTAGATAATATAATCAATTGACGGTGTGAACAAAATCTCGTGTCCAGGACAACTTAAAGCTGTAATGTAGATAATAACGACAAGTGTTTATAATAATTCGGAGCGGGACAACTACTACATTTTAAATTTCAACACCTCTTGTCACACTCAAATACAGTATCATCTCATTAGACGTAACGTTGTCTGAGACACACTGGAGCCGGTAAAAGCCAGGTTTTAAAAGATGGGAGCTCGTAAAACTGCTGTAAATTTAAAAGAGATCATGGTTTGAGTCTGACAACGAGCTTTATCTGAAGTTATTTTCATCATGACTGGCTGCAAGTCTCTCTCAGTACACGAAAGAGAAACCAAACAAAGAGAATATGGTTATAAACCAAGGCAAACGTTTAGTGTTCAGGCTCGAATTGGCTTTTGTGATGAAAATTACTCGAAATAATGTACTACTACTTGAATGGAAACCCAAGCATGGGAAACGATCAAGAGGCAGGCCTAGGAAGAGCTTAAATGATGTATTTATTGAAGATGCTGAGCAGAGATTGGATCGTAATGGACTCACGATTGATTGTATGAGAAGATTGGCTGCAGATCGAAAAGGATGGAGAAATATTACCCGCCGAAGTTGTATAATAGATGACGCAGACTAATCCTTTTGGATGGAGATCTCGCCATGTAACATGTATGTATGTAATGTACTAAACTCGTGCTCAGCGGCCAATGTTTTACATCTGGACACGTTATTAGAGTTGGTGACAGGAATTACAAATCAGCAGCTCGAGGAGGTATTGACAGCAAAGTGTGAACTAATTCATAGAGTTGGCTATAATTCAGAGCTGATGTTTAAAGTGGGGTAAACTAGACAAATAGATAACAGGATATCTCTGTAGTGTGCCTTGTAAAGCAGGCTGTGAAATCACAATACAAATTGAGTATTATCACTACAATAGTATTGTTATTTTGAATTAGTCATGGCCCGGGGCCCCTGATGTTAGAACGGAGGGACAGAGCGAGAAGTGTACATAAAAACAGGAAGAAGGTGTAATTTAGGTGATATCCTGGGCCAATTTAAAGTACCAGCACAGAACACTCCAGTGGGATTGAAATTGTACAAGCATTAAACCTAGTTTTAGCAACAAGCAATGAACGAGCAGCTCAAAGACTTTCTTCAAGGCCAGAAAAAGAGAAAGTGCAATAGATATTACACAAGCGGTACCAGTCAGCGCTATTCTTATATAAGGAATAATGGCACACAGCCCATACGGAGAGAATTAATCTACAGGGAAGTGACAGTGAATTGAGTGTGTGACTTTGACAGAAAGTTGAATTAGTTGAATTGATAACAGCTACAGGGACGTATTGATGAATGGGAGTCTAGCTCACTGAGTATTCCAGGAATTCGAGAAAGTATTGGATAATGTCAACAAAAAAAGACCTTTTTGACGGAGGGTGTTGGAACCAAAAAAGAGATATTGCAAGTTCTGTACTATATCTCTATAATCTGTATAAGCGGTACAATTATTGTGTAGTCAGTTCTGACAAAACAATTGTGGACCAACAGCAAATTTCCACAACTACATATTTATAATCATATTGTCGTGGAACTTTAGGGCAAATGTGAAATGGTGGGACGTTCATAACACGGATCAAACAGATAAGTTCACAAGATCAGTCACTATCACAGATTCTCCTTACCAACGAGATTTATCAGGGCACATGCTCATTGGGGGACACGATTAATTTGTATTTAGTTACCTGGCACATAGGTTACCTGACACATGGGTGCTATTGGCAGATACATTTAATTAATATCGGTTATATGCCATGTGTATCATTAAATACTGTCATATTACACGCGCAGTGCGGCTGGTATCATTACATCTGGTAATAATTCATTACACTCACTAACTTATACAATACATTATCTTCACATAGAACTGCTGCTTCTCCTATATCAATAGTAGAACGAGTAGCGGAACACTCGTGACCCGATGTAGGACAGGGTTACATTACAGTTTGAAATACGGTTTCCACGGTTACTATGTTATAATAACTCGGGAGGGCCCCGGGAGCACCCTGGCTCAAATCCAGCGATCTAATAATGAGTTGTACGCATTAGCCCCCTGACACGTGACTCACACGTGACTATTGACATGCCCAAATATGGGTATGGCATTATATACGGGCATGATCCATGAACTCAACAAACAACAGTGGAGCAGGAGATTGGGCGGTATTACCTAATGAATTGAAGCGTATTATCTAACAACAGCTACTAAAGATAAGAAGTATATAAGGTATGTAAAGGGTAGATGCTATTTAAGGAAATCCAAGTTACTATACCTTTAATTTAAACGCTTAGCACTACCCATGACTGTGTACAATACGTATATACGTTGTTTAAGGGCTGCTGAGCGTTATACCGCTGGACTCTGGAGCTGTACAATACTACACTGCTACGGTACCTGGGATCAGGTAGTGTTACTGAGATCAGAGTCAGTCACTTACTTCAGATCTCCAGTCTTGGAGAGCCATGCTGTATTCACTGCATTGTCACGTGGGTATCACGTGGTTACTACTGTATTGTCACGTGGTTACCACTGTATTGTCACGTGGTTACCACTGTATTGTCACGTGGTTACCACGTGTATTATGTCAGGATATGCGGGGAGGAACTGGGAATATGCCCGGTTCAAGCAAACTTACTGAGTAAAATTAAAGTTGGGACTGGCTATTAGGCTTTGTTGGAGGATGGCTAAGTGAGGCGAGCACATCCGTGCCGTTTAACTGTGTTTAGATCGACAAGATCTGGGTATTATTAAGTTATTATTTTTTAAATGAGAATGTTTTAATAAATCTAACTGTTCATTCAACACAACCTTCATTATCTTGTGTACAAACCAACAGTACTTTTATAATATATTATATATCCTGAACGTTAGATTATAATAATGGTAATTATCTCAAGCTGCCATGGTATATATAATCTTGATACACTATGAATCTTGCATACAGCATACGTCATGGAAAGATATAGTATGATCTGCAACAGACCTGAAGTATATTATGGCAGGTTGTAGGTAGTAGTTGTAGTTGTCTGACTTAAAGATGCAATAATTAGCCTCATCTCATTAAGCATGGTAAAGTAATAATTGTAGTCGCATGAACCGTGGTGATGTTCTGCTTGTAAACACACAGGTTCACGGCTGCAGCTCGGGGGAGTATATAATTAATAATTATATACATTGGGACTATACACATTGACGTTACAGAATGCGTGGCTATTTCGTTAAATGGCCCTCACACGCGTTAGGAAGAAAGTTTACTTATTCACAGTCTAATCATTGTTCTTCTAGAGTATTTAATCCTGAAAGAGTGAACCCTGGAAAACCGAAAATAAATCTCTGTATGTCGACTACATTTTATCTTGATGAAAAGTAACTGGACCCACCTGTACAGTGTACTTATCCCCGGAGGAATTCACCACAAATTAGGGAAATTATATAAATTGTACACTTTTAAAATGCACCTTTTTTGAGCAAAATTTTTCATGGCTGTGGTATCATTGTTATTATAAAGTTGTAACAGTTCGCGGTTTACATTTTAAGTGACATGATTTTCCTTCTAGAATGATTCTCTGAGCGATGATTCTCCTACAGTAATATCTATAATTGCCCAAAATTACATATTTTATCGTTACATCAGCATGATTATGAAATTCAATCTTTCAGATTTCTGTTATGAAATCTGCCAGCGAGTTAAGGAATAATATCGAGAACACGTAATTCCTCAAAGCTCTCAACTGGAAATACTTATTTGAACTTCCATCATACTGGCACTATCTATATTCCAGCCGTTACACACATCACAAAGGATTGTTGAGGTTTCAGTCAAATATTTGAGATGTTTGTGATGAAACAGTCAGCCCAGGCAGGCTTATAGATTATATTAAATTGTAAACCCTTTCAGAGACAGTTCGTTTGAACTGAAGTACTGAAGATTGGACAGAGGAGACAAGGAGAGTCTGTTGAAGATACTGTTAATTAGTATTCAGTATAAACACTGATGTCATTCTACTGATGTTACACGTGTTTGAAGGAGTGACGCCACGTTCTGTGGAGAATTACCATAGCCTTCTTATTTAAATCAATCAAAAAGATTTATCGTTTGTTGTGTGAGATGTTTAGCAGAGTGAGTGGCAGAATGTGTGTTTAGTCCATACATTTTTCTAGATGTCTATTAAACAAAGAGCAATTTCATTCCTGAAAACTAATAGGAATGTGAAGCAAATAATTCCACCAATTCTTCAAAACTTGTGAACTGAAATTTAAAAAGTAAAAGTTCATTAATCGTTAAACTGTGTTGAATCACACAGCTGTCTGCTTCACAAACAACAACAACTGTCTGTATCCCAGACAACAGATAATGCACTCACAATACCACCTGTCTGTGTACACAACTACATTGTTCTAACAGATCTAATATCTGTGAGAGCTAGGACCTCTAAAAGGAAACACCCATTACAACAAATGCCACTGTTCCTCTCTCTCTCTCTCTCTCTCTCTCTCTCTCTCTAAGTTAATGTTGTTATAAAAGTGGTTTTATTAGAACTGTTAATTAATTGTGGAGATCATGTGTTATATTTAGTAAGAGTAGTGTTTAAAGTAGTGTGTTAAAATAGGTGTATAGGGAATGAGGGTCACTGTAAAATCAAGTGAGAGGAAACAGAAATATTTAGAATGATCAGATTTGCTGGATGATAAGAACTTTTAAAAGTATGCATACTGACTATTATCACACTTTCGAGCCAAATTTGGCAGGAAAGCAGAATTGATATTACATGCCCCGATGGGGAGCACTGGCTCTCACCCGGGGGGCATGAAATATCAATCAGTTGCTCAGAGAGAGTCCGATATTCCCATAGGAACAAGGAACCCCCTCTCAACAACTGTTCTACTACTGTGAGGTACTGATTTAAATAAAGATTTAAATCAACAACCTGAAGTAGTCTATGACCGTAAATGCAATGATCAGATAAACTTTCCACAATTAGGAAAAATGTATATTTATGGATGGTTTTAAAAACATTTCCTTGCGTTTGACATGTGTTAAGCAAAATACAATTTTTTGTTGTAAAACTTTTCCAAGCTGTTGCTTTTTTACTGCACTTCATAGTTCAAAGCCTAATTAAGCTTCGAATGATGAAACAAAGTAAAAACTCCCTGGCTTGTACGAGCTTTAAGTGACTTAAGATTACTGAAAACGAGATCAAAGTTTACGAGCAGACTTGAAAGTTGCACAAAGTTTTGGTACTTGTCAGCGATACAATCAATCAGGCTAATTAATTTCCCTAATCACTTACTTGAAATTAAAAAGGAAATGTCAGAACAAACTACAGTCGCCCTCACAAAAAATAGTAAACACTAAACGATGTTTGATTAATTCGAACGAAGAAAACACACAAAACAAGAATCTTGGCGTCAAGTAGTTATATTTGAAAGAAAATTATTGTCAAGAATTCATAAAGGGATGGTCAGCAAATCATAACGTAATAAATTGTGATACATTACGATATGGGATCATTCGCATATTAATTTAGCCACATTTCAGCCATTTCAGACCTCACTTTTAACCCCCTCTGATCCCTTCTGTGAGCCATATTCCATATAGAAATTGTGCAGAAATTATACTAGGCTTTTCCAAACCGGCTTCCCCTAGAATGGCTTACGAAATACGTGGCTGATATATAAAGAGACTTATAAATTCTGTACAATAAAGAGCGAAAATTCTATCCCTGCACCAGTTTTAACTGAAGTTTAGTTAGTGCAACAAAAAACATTCTATAAAATATATTATGTATATAAAGATATCAAGGGACGAATGGCGTAACTTAATCAGCTAATCCGGTTATAAATTGGTCTGGTCGCTGGGGCAAATTTAGGTCCGATGATTGATATGCTGCCATTCTTTAGACCAATTCAATATTGCTAACAGTACGGGTGAACTGCCTGGCAATGACCAGGGTGGTTATAATAGGCTGGTGAAGTGCGTTCTAAAATGGTATTACCAGGCCGATTATCGGGCTATTAAGTCAAGAGTTACTTTCATAAACAATAATAAAGAGTACGGATGTCTGCTGTTGATATTAAAACAATCTAGGGTTGTATTGAAGAGATACATTATATTACGGCTGTTCTGATAATTTCTAGTGAAGCAAATAATGGCAAGATGAATATAAGCAGACTATTATAATACTCGATAAAATTCAATAAAAGTCAATGATTACAAGTTCCAGTGATAAATCATTCTGAAATAACAGACAATCAAGACGGACGATAATATTACATTGATATATGAATTAGGGCGTGTAGTACGAGTACAACATGAACAGTTGAAAATTTGGACTTATGAATAGACAATCATGGCGCCACAGCCCAATTCAAATATAACAACCAGGAAATACTATCGCCTTATCGCAGATTAGTATTACATGATAAGGACTAGGATGTAATCAACACTAAAACAGATGTTCTATACATTATACATCTTCAGTTTTAATGACTCAAAATATATCTAATAGAAATAAAGTATAAGAATCACCTCACATCGATTGATATGCAGGAAATAATTTATGATTAAAATACGCGCTGGTGGTGGAATATTCTAGAATGCAATAAGTACAAGACCCATAGGCGTGAATATATTGATATTCGATGCACTACGTACCAATAGAAAGCAAATTGGGCGCGGCATACAGCATTCACTGTGTCATAAATGTGGGAACGTGAGATCCTAATTTTACGTATTGTATCTTCGATATCTGAAATACTAACTCATCGAGAGCTATATATAGCTTGGAAATTATAAACATAAATAAGTTCGACATGTCTAGTTTGCTTTGGTGAGATTTATAAGTTCTAACGTTTGATCAAATTCTGCTTTCCCGGCCAAATTTGGCTCCAAAGAAAGTGTGATAAAACATTAATCACATGCCTTCTCATGCGATATCAACATTTTCAAAACTCGGCAAGCCTCGTGATTGAAAATGTCGATATAACCCTCGGCAAGCCTCGGGAAATATCGAAACTTTCGCTAACTCGGCAAGCCTCGTGGGCGAAAGTTTTGATATCGCATGAGAAGGCATGTGATAAATGTATAGTATTTTTGCTACACTTATTAATATGCATATATTTATGAATAGTGTACTGAGCTTGAATACTGAGCTGACTGGAGTTATGAACTGATTAATAGTGTCTGGAGTTGGAAACAGTATCAGATGGCTGATATTACTCAATACCAGACGGTACCATGATATGATTAGATTTGAATGGTGATCATGGTGCAGTGGTTACACGTATAATACACTACACTTCTTTGTGTACAACAACATGTTTAATGAATACCTTCCTTAAATCGGCAATGTGATTGCTAATGACGTGAACATTTTTTGATACTTCAAGTTTTTCTGGGTTTTTCTGTTCTATCGTTGCATTAAATGCCAATTCATAGTGACCAGTTAAACTCGAAAAGTTTAATTTTTTAAATTTAGTCCACATGTAGGTAGATGGTCAATTCATATTGTAGCCTGTCCATATAAAGCGTATCCATATTTTAATTGATTGCGATAAGCTAATTTGTGTGTTTTAATGTGTAATTATGTTATTTGTATTGAATTGCATTTTTCCTGAATAACTTCAGCTTGTGAATTCTAACCTACAGGTTGTATTAATGAAAATGCACGGGTTTACTGGGAAACCCATTTTGATCAATTTCTCTGAATTGACACTACTCCCAATAAGGCATCATGTAGTCTCCAGGCTCGACAAACCCCGACAAACCCCGACATATCCCGACAAACGGGGTTTGTCGAGGGGTTTTGCCTCGGGCCCGCCGGCTACATGAGGCCTTCTTGTATAGTGTTTTTCCACGTAAAGCTTGATGACTCCGTCTCGGCTTTTTGTTCTGAGACTCAAAAAAAAAAAAAAAAAAAGAAAAGCCTCCAGGCTCGACAAACCGGAAACCCCGTCAAACCCTGACAAACCCCGACAAACCCCGACAAACCCTGACAAATCCCGGGAAAGGCAGAAAATCCTGTCAATCCTAAAATAAGGTGTAGATTAACTTGAGTAAAGAGGGAAAAGCCCAGAGAGTCATTTTTACTTACTTGGAGCTGTTCCTGCCGAGACTGTACCCTTGGAATCTTTGTTCGCTGGTCATTTTGTTACACTAAACTCTGCAAAAATCTGATTAGATTACAGGACACAAGAAAATTTAGAAATGTACATATGAAACAATTCAATTCCTATTAACTTTGGACAGCTGTCGAGCTGTGATAAATTTGTACAAGTTGGACGATCAAGAATCTTCAGGCTGAAATAAAGTAATGTTGATAAATTAAGCTGGGTGTGAATTTCATAAGCTCGACTTGAAAAACAGAATTTGCAACAAGGTGGTTACCATAAAGCACTCTCTTCTGCATGATGGGGACTATTTAATGTTCTGCATATTTAGGTGTGACATTCCTCACCCACAATTTGCAGCCTTTGTATATGGGTGGCATTGAACTGAACCTGCCAGACTAAACCTCAGTTTGATCAGTTCAGATATAATAAACCAAACTAGCCCCTATCCTGCCAAAGAGATCTTCACTACTGATATTCCATCCCAAGATTTTGTTAACAACACAAAAGAATCTGAGGAGTCTTTTCTTTCCAAGTTAGAACCGGTTTCAAGACAGGGTCCAGAATAAAAAGTGATTTGGTAATATGTGACTGACACCTAATGGCAAATGGCTTGACCAAGGGGTAACACGATTCAGGTGTAGACAAGCCTAGCTGTGTTTGGGGGCTTCATGACTAAACAGCTCCCTGCAGTCAATTGTATGTGCTCGAGTTGGCCTGTTTCTAGACTAATTAGTTTACTGGGACGAAAAATAATGCCTCTTTCTGTAGTTGAAACACGTGTAGTGGTAACACGATCGCCTCCCAAGCAGAAGGCCCGGGTTCAAGTCTGGTCGGATGCAAGTCGGACAGTTATCAAGCTGTGATTTGGTGCAGCTTCGGCTGGTGATACACACTCTCTGGCTCGAAGGACTAACCCCCATACAGCTAGTATAGTGCCTCGGCACAAAGTGGCTTAGGGTTACTGAAAAGGAGATAAGCACCTCAGGCCATACCAACTTGTGGGAGAGACCTGCCCTTGTATCTTGTATTGTGTATAGTCTATATTTGATTGACGATGTCAACCCTTCCAGATAAGATCGTTGCTCTGCTCTGCGAAGCAAGAATGCTAGTTTGCGACTAGGCTCGTCAAAGCGTCGAAGTCCTCCAAAGTCTATATACAGCAAAAGTATTTTGAGATTAGCAGATGCGATAGGTTTCTTCCCTCAGGGATCTTTTTCTTGCCTATAATTGTAATACTGCTATTTTTTCAGAAAAGGAACTAAGTCAAAATCTTCGAAATATGGCAATAATGGTATCAAAATTTTCAGTCAAAATTCTCTACAACATGAACTACATATTTTTGTATAGAAACGAAAAATCGTCAAAGAATGAAGTCCAAGATTTTCAAAATCGACTAAAAATTGCTCAAAGAATGTTGGAGAAAATGGATTTATAGTAATTAGACTCGATTTTCAGTGCGCACGATTAAAAATTGCTCGCGCAATAACAAATATGCAATAGAACAGGACAACTACAACTCACCTCAACAATGGAAACGTCTACAAGAAGATCGACATACCACAGGATAAACTGGGCAAACAAAAGTACATAAACAAGTTAACTAAAACTCTAGAAGACGATGTTAACTCAACATTCAAGAACATTGCCAAGAGTCGTAATCTCCCTCAAGATGTTACTAACCTGTTAATGAGCCATCACACCACCCTCGCTACTGCAAGAGTGATGCTTAAAACCCACAAGTACACAAGTGATGAGATCAAGACTCTTAACCCTGACACAATGAAAACTAGACCTATTGTTTCAGGCTGCAACTCCCCTTTCCACAAAATCCTTTGGTTCGTCTGTCACATCCTATCTCCTCTGATGAATCTAGTACCTTCTCATTTGAAAAACACTCACGATTTTCTTCGAAGGATTAGAAACATCACACCAAATGATCTGAAGAGTCTTACTTTCTTTACAGCAGACGTCGAAGCTTTATACACCAATATCAACGTACTAACAGCAATAGAAGATGTCATGGAATTTGCCAAAGAAAATAGACAGTCAATCAGTACATACGGTCTCCATCTCTCTGATTTACAAGAACTACTAGAGACAATCCTAGGAAAGTCATATTTTGTCTACAACAATCAAGTCTACCTACAGCTTCTTGGATTGTTCATGGGAACCAACCCTGCACCTATACTAGCTACTGTCAAAATGTGGAAACTGGAAAAACTTTCAGTCTACGTAGACCTGAGGATAACACTGCCCACCTACAGCAGGTTTTACGACGATCTAAACGGAGCCACCACCAACAGACGAAAAGCTCAGCAACTGTGCAACCTCATCGAACAACAAGATCCTGACAAAGTAAAATACAATTTTAAGTAAAATACAATTTTTATTTTCCACAGAAGAATCAATACATATTGAATTATAAATATCCGATAAATCCATTAATAATCATTAAAAGTTGCTTTGTCATTTGTAAAATCAAAAACGAAAAGCCGTACGCTGAACTGTGAACGCGCGCGGCGCCTTTTCTGCAGCTGCCTAGCTTCAAGCTTATAGCCGCTAACATCAAAGCCGCCGCGCGCGCCCAGTGCTGGGGTGCATTCTCATTAACAATTAAACTTGGTCAAAGATAGTTATATACAATTCCTAAATTAAATCAATAATCATGTTAATATGAGTATTCAACACTACTCGACAACAAATATTTGCCGGCCCATCAACAATTCAGTCGCCGAAACAAAAATCAAATGTTTGCTTTTTCTCTGTATTTTTTTGACAAACTTATCAAACTAACTGTAGACTACCCTGACAATCAGAACGACTTTGTTCCCTTCCTCAACACGGAAATAAAGATCGACTCAGATGGAATAGTACATTCTAGACTCTACAGAAAACCACAGAAAAAGCCACTCACCCTCCACTACAACTCTCATCATACAACACGTACAAAGAATGCTACTGTTGAGAGTATGTACAACACCGCAGAGGCAGTCTCTAACAACAGAGAAAACGAGAAGTACTCAGAAAAGATGATAGATAAACTTCTCATCAACAACGGCTACACTGATTGAGTCTTAGAAACCATAAAGAACAAGAGAAAACGTAGAAAGAGAATTAATCAGAAAGTACAGAACAAAGACCAAGACGGAGCGATTCTCAAACTACCCTATGTTAACGAAGCTACTAGTCGCAAATACAGAGATGCTGTCAGACGTAGTGGACTCCACATCAAAATTGTCGAGAAACCTGGACGGAAACTGAAGGATCTCCTTACAGACTCCAGACCCCTTGACAAGAAATCCTGTACAACATCAAACTGCAGAACATGCGCAGCTTTAACCGATGGAGAATGCACCACAACTAATACCGTCTACCACATCACTTGCGAAGTAGACAATTGTACCGAGAACTATGGTGGGGAAACATACAGACCGATCAAGTGCAGGTTCGACGAGCATTACCGTAGTGCGGCAAATCCAACAGCAAAATCTTACGAAGATAAGCCACTAGCAAAGCACTACAGGGAAAGTCACCCTCAGCACAAAGGCCCCCCAAAACTTAAACTTCAAATCGTAGATAGAGGAACATCACTCATCAACAGAAAGATTAAAGAAGCCCGATTTTTAGTTGAAAATAAACCAACACTCAACGATAAAACAGAGTTGAACAATCTAACACAGTTTTTAGTTGAGTGACGTGTAAATAGTAATATTCTCGTTTAATTCTTTTATCTCTTTTAATCTTTTATCTCCTGTATAACGTCACGCTATTCGTTAATTTTCAGATGAGCCCTATTTGATAAGTTTTGTCAGTTTTATGTTCATATTTGCTCCGATTTCGTTAAAAACTATTTACGGTTGATAACTATTTTACAGTTATATATTTTGTTTGAAATAAATTTCGTCGTCAAATTTTTAATGAAAAGAATATTCAAACAATATACACATAATATAGCAATGGCCAATTGGCTGACTATAAGGTCATGGCCTGAACTTTAATAGTCAAGTGATGCTAAAGCAGAGCACAAATATGTAATAAGTTAATAAATAATATTTACTTATTACTGTTATTTGACTTATTATATGTAATAAGTCAAATTTTTAATGTGAATATTGATCGTTATAATTGAATTAATACTATTTCAGAATATGAGTATGACGTAAAAATGTCGATACGTTATTCAGCTATTTATTTCCATTAGAATCTGTCATCACTGAGTCTATTCAGAAACAATCAGAAATTTGAATAAAAGAACTATCAAATCATGAGACTCAAAAACACTACACGAATCCACCAGATAGAATTTACAATTAAACATAATATATATGCACTCAGTGGCGTAACTTAGGGCCCCGCAGACCCCGCTGTGCGGGGGGGGGCGCCGTATAAGGGGGGGCGCAATTTCCTGAATTTTAGGCCCTTTCACTGAAAAAACGTCTTGTTTGTGTATTTCCCTGTCCAATTTAGCGTTCGGTCGACGCGAAAAAAATATTTGGGGTACCCTGTTTTGCTTCAGGGGGGCGCAAAAAGCCTTAGGGGGGGGGGGGCGAGAAAAAAAGTACCCGACCTTTTTTTTTTTTTTTAGGGACACAAAAAATTTTAGGGGGGCGCTTTTCGTCACTGAGCGGGGGGCGCCAACAGGCAAAGTTACGCCACTGTATGCACTGACCTTTACTTTGAAATTTGAGCAGTTGCAGTTATATTGAAATGTCAATTGCCGAGAATGTTGAGTTTAAGTATAACTTTTAGATCGAGTTTGTTTTCATCAAAATATTGATAAGTTAACTTTATATTACGGACTGAAATTTTTCAAAAATGTATGAGTTTGCCGAAATATGGGCATAAGCGTACTGTCATAATGCATTTAAAAAACATGTATTAAAAGATTATATTTAAATTTACCTAAATGTTTGTAGCTAGGCTTTATATATGCGTTACTGGCGTGCATTCAATAATTCTTTTTGCAACCACGACTTCGTTAGATCGGCAAAATGCGTTGGAGGACTTCGCCACTTCGACGCGCCGAGCAAATTATCACTTTTACTTTGCATGATCGACATTGTAGCGCGATGCACTACTGGGTCGCGCGCGCATCAAATAATGCTCCTCGCAACCATCGGCAGATCGGCGAGATGCGAAGGATTGACATCGTCAATCAAGATCGACATAGTTCATTCGTAAAGCGACAATCTGGAAAAATTGACGTTGCTTCGTCAATTAACCGAACTGTTCATATTTGACAAAATAATTTAATAAAATACATTGACGGCCGATGTTACTCGTCTAAATTTCTTCGAAGTAGCGCGCGCCGCTTTCTGTCCGATATCAAATGCTATGAAGTAGCGCGCGCCGAGCCAAATCATCAATCATGATTAGTAAAATACAAAGATCCTAACTTGAAAAATATTTATAAGGCTTAAACTTATTTTTTCTAAAACAAAGATTTTTATTAAAGGGCCGAAACGTAATAAATAGAAAGCAAGTAAATAACAAATTTTAAATTTTGGTATTTATTAAAATATTAAAAATCAAATCATGTACCATCAAAATAAATGATAAAGCTGCTGCACGTTGGTTGGCTGCGGGCTGCCTCAATAAATAAATAATTTAAGCTTATGAAGCTGTAGGTTTACAACCTACCAGGACGCGCGCCGAGTTGGACTCCAATATATGGAACAACTATTTTAAGAGTATCACCCGTTAATTATATGAAGGTGCGCCTTAATTATACTCTGACTGTTGATAAGAAGAGTTTTGATATTTATATAGACTTATCAAGATGGCTTAATATCTGGATTCTGAAAACCACAAATGTTGACTTGTCCGCGGGCGCGGAACGTTTTGAGTGAACTCTCAAGGCCACACCATTAACCATGAGGTTCGCCGGCGCTAAAATTATCATAGATATCTAACTACGGTGTACGAGGAGGGCCACTAATAAAAAATATAGCACTTTCGAAAAAATATACATTTTTTAGTATGAAATATATAGAAAATATAGAAAATATAGAAAATATATAAAATATAGAAAATATATAAAATATATAAAATATATAAAATATACAAAATATATAAAATATACAAAATATATAAAATATACAAAATATATAAAATATATAAAATATATAAAATATACAAAATATATAAAATATATAAAATATACAAAATATATAAAATATATAAAATATACAAAATATATAAAATATACAAAATATATGAAATATACAAAATATATAAAATATAAAAATATAGCATTTATAAAAAAACATACTTTTTAAAAAAAAGTACTTTTTTGTAAAACGTACATTTTTTGTAAAACGTATATTTTTTAGTGGCCCTCCTCGTACGACTCGTGTACGAAAAGGGCCACTAAAAACGTACGTGATACGCGCGCAGTCACCTATTAAATTTGCGTATGGAGTTCGCGGCTCGACAATATTTGCCAATAGATGACAGCCAAACCTCACCATATGCTTCATGCATTAGAGGCCGATAGTGGCAGAATGTACACTGTCGCCGATGTAGACAATTTTTATTCCTAATGTTATTTTATTAAACTAAGACTCGTGCTGATTAGGCCCGTCAAGTATAGAATTTTCAAAGTCTATTGTAACGGCTACTTCCCCTGTTGTCTAAGAGCTCATTCAGATATTTTCAAATAGGCGGTGGTATCATTCCGGGATCAACCATGGGAAGGGTTTTGCAAGTTCCCCTCATTTAGGTTGGTACGCAGGAGCTTTAGCTGGAGTTTTGTCTTATATTTTAAAGGTTTTAGAGGTATGTATCGCAGCATTGCTGTACTATTCTTTGAATAGTTTCAATTCAATTAGGTTTACTACCAGCGTGTACGTAAAATATTACATGTTTTTGAGAATTTTCTTATATTTCCGATGTAAGATAATATCAAATTTGTCCGAAACCAGAAACTGGCCCGAACAAAGTGTATCACCCGGCAAGGGGCCGTTAACATGTTACGTAAGCGTATCTCTGTCTATTCTAAATACATAAATCCTTCCCTCCCGAGTCCCGAACATAAGCAAATTTAGACATTTTATAGAGGAAATGTATACACGTTATGACAATACCAGGCCCCCCTCTTGGCGTTCACAACATGTTAACGATCGCTACCGCCGTATTTTAGTGCTTTAGAGACATAACAAGTAAAAATGATTTCTTTGAAAACGCACAAACATAGTTCTGTATAAAATACAAAATATAGCTCGAAATAAATCGAAAGTTACTCTCAAAGTTAGCTATACTGTAAAACACCTTAAAATGAATTTCAGATCATTTTAGTTTGTAGATTAACATCTGAATTCTAGAATCGTTTAATTATTCAACAAATTTATTTACAAATCCTTAATACTATAATCATATGTATAATATTGTTGTGGTACTACAGTCACTTTCGGATTATATCCCACTTTATTGGCATATCAGTTTCCTACCTGACACAATAAAGTACTAGCATTTTGATTCTGATTATATCCCCTTTCGGGTTTTATCCCGTTGATAACTAATATCCGTTTCCTCCCAAAACGGGATATAATCCGAAAGTGACTGTACTCGAAACTTTTTAAGACGAAAAAACTTTCTGGATTCAAGAATTTTCGGCGATCCGCCTTTATCAGATAACTAGCGCAAATTTGTGTTGATGAAGTAGATTTGTAAAGTTTAAACCTTTACAAAACAAATTTCCGCTAATTATCTGATGAAGGCGAATCGCCCAAAATTCATGAACAAAGTTTCTGTCTCGAGTACCGCAACAAGATTATGTTTATCTCCGACAGGGCGATGCTTGCAAGAACTGAATATGTATTAAACTAATATAAACAGTTAAATATACACCATTTCTTAGTTACTAAAACGCTTCTTCCTGAGTCTAGAATGTTACTTGCAAGTTCTGAGTTCATCTTGACTGATTTAGTTTGTTCTCACTCGACTAGAATAATCAAATATTGTGTCAAAAGTATCGGGATCAGCTGTCGTAGTTTACAGACTATAAAACATCGCTGTAGAGAGTTGTACGGAATTGTGGATATCTTGGCAGTATAAATCGTCAATCGCAACATTCGGATATCTTAGTACCTTTTCCTGAAGATATACAAAGTTCTAAATGCAGTTCTTTAGCTTTTAAACTTTTGGGGGGGGGGGGGAGGGCAAGCACATCTTTGCCCATCAATGCCAATGCCCGTTTTGCCAAAAACTGGGAACGTTTTGTGGCATAAATGGGCATGCCCATGCCCATTTTGCCGATCTCAGGGTCAAAATCGTAAAATCATGAAAACATTGTTTTATACCATACCCCACTCAGCTAAAATGGGGGGGGGGGGGTCCAACCCGGGCTTTCCCAAAAGTCACCTGTCGTAGCTCCACCACCTAGTCCGAGGCCCGAGCGCCAGCCCGAATGCCAGCCCGAGTGCCAGGCCAGGCCCCAAATTCAGCCCCTGCCCGAGCCGAGCCCAGCTCCTCCCAGCCCGAGCTCTTTCCAGCCCCAGCCCAAGCTCCTCTCCTAGCACAAGCCGCAGTCCGAGTTCTTCCCAGCCCAAACTACAGCTCCTTCTGAAACGTTGAGCAATAAACTCCCTCGTGTTAATTTTCTTCTTTAAAATTATACAGAGTGTACCGTACTTGAAAGACACATTTTACTTTGAAAGTTAGCTTGAATAAGTTTGCTTGAATATGGCAATAAAGATTCAACTGATTAATTAACCATGGTTTCACCTTCCATAAGAAATCTTCTGTATTGATGCAGGTGTCGACATGTAGACAGTACTGAGTACAGTGCTGTAACCAGTAATCGGCCCTGTTCCGTTGGCACGTTTCTAAGCACCATCTTCCTACAAATGAATGTGAAAGACCTTTAATTACTTAATTCGAAGATACTGTAGTATGTGATTTTCAAATTTCATCCCATTTTTATGCAACTGTTATACTAACTACTTCAATATACCTATGTAAAATCACGAATAAAATGTGTTTTTGTAAAATAATTGCTGCTTTTAACTTAAATTTAATGTGGCATAATACACGACAGGTAACATATTCAGGATTCATGCCATTTCTAATGTTAACACATGCAACTGTTAAATACTAAATACTTCAATATGTAAAAATCAAGACTAAAATGTGGTTTTGTAAAATAATTGCGGCTTTTACTGTGGCAAAATATACGGCAACAAACATATTCAGGATTCATGTCATTTCTTATGTTAACACATACATCTGTTAAATACTAAATACTTAAATTTGTTTAAAAATCACGGCTAAACAGTGGTTGTGCCGTATTAAAAAATGTGGCTTTTAATGTGGCAAAACTCATAAAAATCAACATATGCAAGATTCGTACAGGATATTTCCAAGCCGAAAAAGGATTAGATTACAATTCACTATTAATATTATGTTTAAAACTTCCAACGTTTATATGGTATATCTAGATATATCTAGATAACCATGACTTTGAAGCTCCTTTTAAAAAACAACATAGAATCGTGCAGTCAAAATGATTTAATACTAGTACAAAATAATTGCACCTTTTAACGGGGGCCGGGGATCAGTGACTTACTGTATGACACAGGGTGGGTGCGAGTCTTTCGGATACAAAAATCAGTAAGTCCCCCGGGAGAAACTGAGGCAGAAATCAGCCCAATATCACGGAAAATTGGCTTGAAACCGTTTTAGAAGGAAATTCTCAAAATTATTCGCTGCACTGACGCTCGAGAACAAAATTTAAAGAAAATTCGAAAGTTTTTTGTTTGTTGTTGTACATATGTTTGATCATGGTGAGTTCTCAATCGTGTCAAAGCGTAACAAAGTAAACGAATATTTATTTCGAACGATATTTCGCGGGATTTCCGCTTTATCAAGTTATATACCGGGTGGTTTTTAATATTGGTTCCCTCCTTATATGGGCATGCATATTGCACAAATAACATACGCTGTGTTACCATCTGTCCCAGGTAGTGCAACTACCTGGGACAGATGGTAACACAGCGTATGTTATTTGTGCAATATGCATGCCCATATAGAAGGGAACCAATATTAAAAACCCCCCTGTACAAGGTGTGTTACGCTTTGACACGATTGAGAACTCACCATGATCAAACATACGTTCTTACCCAATCGTTCCGGCATTATCCGATTAATATTGTTGTACAGACCACCAATGAACACTTCGAGATGATTTTCCAAAAATAATTTACTAATATCTAGTTTGGGTGCCTACTTTATTTCTCTTATGAACCCTGACCGGTGTCCAAATCAGTAAGTTTCCTTATTTAAGGCCAGAGGGAGGAGGGGTGGGGTAAAAACTTTTTTTTCTTCAGTTTTTATATATTTTATAGAGCTCTGGATGCTAAACAAGTAAGTGAAAAATTATGCAAATCCCACCTTCCGTTCCGAAGATATTGTGTGCCAAGGTTTGATGTTTACCTGTAATTACATTGCACTCAAAAACTTTTTAGGTTTCTCAGTATTGGGCTAAACCAAGGCAAGCGCAGGGCTTGGCACAATTGTTTCTTGGGCAAATACCTAACAAAGTGGTGCAGCGTTTTATGTTTAATGATTTGGTTCTCAAAGTATGAGTTTAACAATGTCAAAAAGTAGCGAATTTCCTTAGGGGCCGTTCACATATTACGTAATCACTTTTTTGACCATTTTTACCCCCTCTGTAATCAACCGTTAAATGTTAAATGTTAAATGTTATTATGCTTAGACCCCCCCCTGTGAGGAAAATTAACGTAATCATGGCTCGATCCCCCCCCCCCCCCCCCCCGGGAACTCAAAGTTCAGTGAATTTCTCGATTATTCTTACGAAAATAAACAATAGAAAGACTATTAAAATAGCTGGGAGCTTGATTGTCAAGTCAAATGTGCTCATTTATAAGATGATTATAGTCAATCAATCCTGTAATCGACCGTAAATAGGACGATTTTTGTGATAAATTGATTACGTAATCAGTGGGCCAATCCCCCCTCCCCCGTAATCAATCGTAATCATTTGCCAACCCCTCCCCCCTCGGATGATAACGTAATATGTGAATGACCCCTTAGTTTTCAACATTGTTAACCTTATAAATTTAGAAACAAAGCATTAAAAATAAAACGCTGCACCACTTTTTTAGGTATTTGCCCAAGGAAAAATTGTGCCAAGCCACAAGCCCTGCACTTGCCTTAGTTTAGCCCAATACTGAGAAACCAACAAAGTTTTCGCACGCAATGTAATGAGAGGAAAACCTCAAACTTTAATGGGTGATATCTTCGGCACGGAAAGCCGGATTTTAATCTTTTTCACCTTCCTATGCAGCATCTAGAGCTCCATAAAATAATATATGGAAACTGAAAAAGTGTTAACTCTACGGAGGGGGGGGGGGGGGGGGGGCTTGCCTACGATTTTTGGGCGGGTGTCAAAATATAAACATAGAAGGTGAAAATAAGGTAGTCCCAGGGAGTAAAATAGGGGGTGGTAGGTGTTTCGACAAAAAAATAGGAAAATATCACTAACTTACCGCATATGTCATGCAGTTAGTCCCTGATCCCCAAATACAAGCAAACAATACAAGCAAACAACATGATGATTATAAATTTTACCGTTTAATAGTTCAATTACGTTTAACACGCTTTCTGATAGTTGGTAACACGTTTTCTGATAGGTGGGAACAGTTAAAGGCCCAGTGCCAGAACGGTGCATATGTCATTGCAGACATGCTTGATCAAGAACTTGTTTATGGCATTGACTCCCAAATTTCCTGCACAGAACTCCCATGAAGTGCTGTTGCCATACGTGGCTACCTCGGTGTCTGTAATAAACAGGTTGTTCTTTTCACGGAAAAACTGCACATCCAAAGGCATGGCGGTTTTCCCCGAATCGAGCCACACAAAGTGCACAAAGGCCTCTGTGAGGTCCGATTCGGGGGTACCTGGATAAATTATCTCGCCATCATTGTTGATTGTTTTCGTGATTTTACCTCCAAAAAACCTTTCTATTATTATTGGGAAGGTTATTCCCTTGGCGAACTCTGGTGTTGGGGTCTGGAACGACTGGCCCAAGCAACATTCTATTGCACCGAGAGTCAGCTGCAGTACCGTATCTGGAGGAAACGACTGGTTAAACCGCCCCACCCAGTGATTACATAGTGCTGCTATCTTCACTGTTCGCTGAGTCATTTCATCATAGTTCGATTTGCAAACATTCTCGATGCAATTTCGAATGTTTTCTGCTGCTTTCAAGTGCTTTAGCACAAACTTTCCGGTTAGGATTGGTGTTTCTATTTCAAAGGCATGTACTACTTTGAAGGTGCCTACTTCCCGGAACCCCTCATCAAACTTTATTGCCCCTGTAGCCACAAAGCCCAACCTTAATTAGTTAATTACCCTAAATTTGTATTTATTTGGCTACTCTTGACTATTTTGCACGAGGAACATGGTTAGATGAGTCTAGAGGCACATAAATTAGTCAAACCTAGTGGAAATTGATATGCGAACTTTTATTTGTTCATAAGGAACAACGTGATGAAAACAGTTTTCAAATTGACCAAATCTGTAAATAGTTATGGCAATGCGCACAATAAAAATAAAGTGATTTTTTGCGATTTAGGGCTTGCCATTTCCTATATAAATGCGCGCGTATCACGTACGTTTTTAGTGGCCCTTTTCGTACACGAGTCGTACGAGGAGGGCCACTAAAAAATATACGTTTTACAAAAAATGTACGTTTTACAAAAATGTACGTTTTTAAAAAAAGTATGTTTTTTTATAAATGCTATATTTTGTATATTTTATATATTTTGTATATTTTATATATTTTGTATATTTTATATATTTTATATATTTTATATATTTTGTATATTTTATATATTTTGTATATTTTATATATTTTGTATATTTTATATATTTTGTATATTTTATATATTTTGTATATTTTATATATTTTATATATTTTCTATATTTTCTATATTTTATATATTTTCTATATTTTCTATATTTTCTATATATTTCATACTAAAAAATGTATATTTTTTCGAAAGTGCTATATTTTTTATTAGTGGCCCTCCTCGTACACCGTACTAACGCGCATTTAGGAGACGCGCAAAAGTTGTCACTGTTGGCATGGTTTGGGCGAGCGAATTAGTAAGAGCCGATACAAGTAGGTTTTAAGTTGAAGCTGCATATTTTATAGAAATCACTATTGTTGAAACTATCAGAACGCAGATTATAAACAATAAATAATGGACAATATACTGACGACAATATCAAAAACTTGAGTGGCGTATTGCATTTTCCGAATCCTTTTTAAATTTTACCGAACTAGGCTCATTCGACCCAATTACTCACGCTTCATGTATAGCCTGATAATATTTATTTGTTTTATCCTCTAGCAAGCATTCTTTGAATCAGATGTCGCATTTATTATAAAAGAACCAGCAAATCTCCGCATTATAATTTTTGTGTGCCAAGTTTATAATATCTAATCATATAATAAAATTGATCCAATAATTTAAGATGAACGGTATATCATAGCTCATCGTTGTTCCAATTCGATTGATTGAAATAATTTAAAAATCAAATTAGCTTTGGTAGGTATGGGGTTTAGCGCTTGACTAATCGTCTTGACTAGGAAATTCAAACAATATACACATAATATAGCATTGACCCTATATAAAAATTCAATATGAAATTCAATAAAAAATCTTAGTAAATTTTATAGAAACTCTTTAAGTAGTATAAGTAGCCAGTTCAATTTGTTGGCTTTAAATTTATATCTAGTTCTGATATTTTAACAGCGCTATTACTTTTTATCTTTAATTTGATCCTTCGAACAGCTGTTGAGCAATGAAACGCAAACATAATCTTAGCAAAATGAATATATTTCTTTTATCTTCAGCATTTAATCAGTCACATAATCTGAGAATATCAATGGTTAGTTTGAAAATGTCAAAAATTCTCATCAAAAATGTAGTAAAGTCTCAAAAAATTAATTAATTAATTTAGCATCTCGTCAAAATGGAATAGTTTAAAATCGGAACAAAATTAATGGCATATACTATAATAATGTGGAGTCTACAGTAGTTCATTAAATCAAAAAGACGCAATTCAAAGACGCAATTACTTTTTATCCCTCTTTATCCTCTACGAGCTATAATTGTTGTTCTCAACAAGTCAAATCTTATTCTTTAAATGTCATTGCCTCACTGTATCTTTGTCCTGATTTTCTAGACATTCTATCAGCTAACTTTTTGAAAAAAGTATTTGCTTCTCTTCCCATTCCACCTGTTGTTGATAGGACTATATGTTTCGTGTTCTCTTGAATAATCTTAACTTTCCGAACAAATGGTATAAAATATTGTTCTTTGTGTCAGCACTATTTTTTTCTCAAGTTTCCTGATATGAGATCGTTTTTACCGCACCAAAGTACGTTCCCATGGTACCCACATGAAACTGTAGGATCTATATCTCCTACTACTGGAGCAAAGTACTGTTTTGGAGCCACCACTCAAATGATTTTTTGAGGTCCAGCCCAAATTTAAAACCACCAATTTGTGAGTCAATTTGGGTGTTTTTCTCCTTCAATTCTATTTAACGCCTCATCAAACACTTTCCAGTGATGATGATCACAAAAAGTTCCTTTTTTATGCAGTCCTTTTAAAAAATATATTTAAAAAATTATTTACATTATAAGAATTCGAGCATGCTAAATCACATTAAGAGAACGTGTTTAAAAATTCACGTGACAGAAGTCTCGTGTGTAGAGTGATTAATCATCATCCATAAGAATTCTTAACATCCACTTGTAGGCCATTCCATTAGTATAACTCCAGATGGAAAAGTTTTACGAAGATTTCTTGCAGTCCCAACAATTACCACTGTTTATAAATGATATTTGGGAGAATTAGGGTAACGAGAGCACCAATTTAAACGCTTGGGATACAAGGTGTTAATAAGCAAATTGGTTATATAACAACTACTCTACAACTCTAGAAACTCACACAGATGTTAAGTGAATGTTTTGTGTTTTGATATGATCTGTGGTTACTATAAATATTTTTTTTTAATATACACAATAAGGTTTGGTACTTTATCTGTACCTCCCCTTTCATAGAAATAATAGCAAAAATATACATCTATCTTTAAGAAATCAACATCTGATATAAAACATTTGATCAACCAAAATTAAGACAATTTTCCTGTTAATAATTTAACGGCACTCATAAGAGGTCATACTAGGTATAAGTCCAAATGCTGTGTCAGCAACCGTTTTTGTTACTTTCTTTTCTTCTTGACTCCTCACACCATGAACTGATACCACTATGCTTTTAAGCATAGCAAAGCATATCTTGGTCCTGATGTAGTTGATAACATCTGTGTAACTCTCCTTTCTCTTCTTTGATATCAATCTACTATAAATATTAAATCTATATCAATCAATAAACTTTGTCAATTCCTTTACTTATAATTTAATCTAACTGATCCCGATGTGATGTGGTAAGTTCCTCGAACTTTATAAGATCTCGCAAATCTGTAAGAAACGGGTTCGTTTGTTCAGGCCCAACAATCACATCTTGATCTGTAATAAACGTGTATATTCTTGCAGTCCCAACAATCAGTTGTTCATTCATCAGATATCCAGGCCATGCTTTTTTAATGATAGTGCTGATAACCAAG